TCTCTCTCTCTCTCTTCCTCCATAGCCTCTACAACCAAACCTTGAATTCCAATTGCTTCTAGGATGCGCCTAGCAAGCTGAATATCCTTGGGCATGATTGTCACCCTCTTGGCAGGGATGGCGCACAAGTTGGTGTCCTTGAACAGACCCACCAAATAGGCCTATGCAGCTTCCTGAAGCGCAATCACAGCATAACTCTGGAACATGAGGTCGGTCTTGAAGTCTTGAGCGATTTCACGAACCAGGCGTTGGAAAGGTAGCTTGCGGATCATAACTCAATAGCTACCCTTCCCCCACCCCAAAACCGAGCAGCCCCCCACAACCCAGCTCACCCATCATGCTAACCCCCATCCTCCTAATATGCCAACTCAACCACCCCAACCGATCCATCTCTCTTGCTTAACAAATCAAATTCCTCAAAGCACAACAAATTCATTTTCTCAACTCTCGCAGATCTCCTTTAGTTTCATACATGACAAGAAAAAATGGAAAAAAAAAAAGAAGGAACATATCTATCTTCATTCTTTGGGTACACAAGATCAGTAAAATAATTAATAAATAAAGAAAAACTCAGTCCAACCCCCTTCTCTCCCCTTCCTCTTCCTCCAAAAACTCTGACGCACATCCCCACCCCTTCCGCCACCACCTTATTATTTCATACTGTAAATCACCACTCATATCCCTGACCACCTCATCTCCCAGATCCAAATGCTCTCTCTCTCTCTCTCTCTCTCTCTCTCTCTCTCTCTCTCTCTCTCTCTCTCTCTCTCTCTCTCTCTCCAGCTACAGTCCCAATCTTCATATCCTAGCTTTACAACCCACACCAGATTCGAGCCCCACCACCGTCAGTCTCCCCCAATGCCTTATCTATCTTTCTTTTCAACCCCCACGACCACATTATGGGTGCGGTGACATAACTCACATTCTGCGATGACGAAGACAACGGCTATGAGACGATGGTGACGACGACAACGAGGAAAATGATACCGGTTTTGCTGGTTTCCTATTTCCCAATACAATCACAGACAAATCTGGGATTGGTTGTTAATCACATACATGAATTTTAGAATAATTGTGGTTAATTAAATCTAGGTAGGGGAAGAAATCTAGGGTTGAAGAAATCTGGGGGAAAGAAATTGGGAGGATGGGGGAAGAAATCGGGAGAGAGAATCTGGGTAGGGTTTTTTTTAAAAATATTTTTATTTTATTTTGTAAAATTTTAATATGTTTAATTTATTAATTTTTAAATTAATTTTTATTAATTTTTTGTCCATGTGGAACCCAACGTCAATTAAAAAAGAGACCTTCACTAATATACCCAAAATAGGAGTTGAAATTCTAAAAAAACCCCATATGGAAAACATACCCAAAATTCATTTACTACATAAGAAATTGGTGTTTAAGTTTCTATAAATTACGTGATTGCCATTGATCAACTTAAAAAAGAAGTTCAACACAAAAAATTTAAATAGCTCCCAAAAAAAACCCAGCACAATTTTATAAAAAAAAACCCAAACAATTCATTACAAACAAAACGTCTTGAAAACCATAGCTTCATTAATGTGTCATGTTGATTAATGACTATAATATTCCACACCTTACTATCATGTTGATTAATGGATGTAATGTTCCAGTATAGGGTAATAACACTGCTAGTTTGCTGTCATGTTGATTAACGGTTGTAATGTTCCAGTCTAGGGTAATAACATAGCTATTTTCCTATGACATCTTATTTCTAACGCATATCTACCCCTGTAATGTTCCAATATAGGGTAATAACACTTCTAGTTTCCTATGACATCCTATTTCTAATGCATGTATACCTTTGTAATGTTCCAGTCTAGGGTAATAACATTGCTAGTTTACTGTCATATTGATTAATGACTGTAATGTTCCAGTCTATGGTAATAATACTGCTAGTTTCCTATGAAATCCTATTTCTAATGCATGTCTACCCCTTGTAATTTTCCAATCTAGGGTAATAACACTGCTAGTTTCCTATGACATCCTATTTCTAATGCATGTCTACCCTTGTAATGTTCCAGTTTAGGGCAATAACATTGCTAGTTTCATATGACATCTTATTTCTAATGCATTTTTACCTATGTAATGTTTCAGTCTAGGGTAATAATACTGCTAGTTTACTATCATGTTAATTAATGTTTGTCATGTTGTTTTTTCTAATACATGTCCAACAAAGAAAAGATGAAGAAAGAACAAACTAGACCAACTCAAAGCAAGTTGAGCCCAAATTATTAATACTATTATGTCATAGAAGTACGTTGTTAATACTCTGTAATAGAAGTACATTGTTAATACTCTATCATAGAAGTACATTGTTAAACAAAAATAAGATCTATAACTGAAATAATAATAAAAGATAAATAGATTATCAAATCTTAAAATACATTTCAAAAATCAACTAAAATCCGAAGAGAAATACATAATTGAAGCAAAAGATCAAAAATCTCAAGTCCAAACCAAACAACGACGATGTGGCGAAGATGAGGAGTAGAGCTAAGAGCATTTGATCAAGGTTCGTTCGAGGTCTTGAACAATCCAAACAAAAAAAAATATCAATAGAAGCACGATTTTAGAACAAGAAATCAAATGTGAAATATTGAAAATTATAAATTAAAGATGAAGAATATAGTTGTGGACCTGAGACTGAGCTTCAATGGAAGCTCTTCTTGCTCCAACACCAGAGAAAGCACCAACAAGAAAGGAGAAAATAAATATGATTTGGATTTTTGGCAGATTTGGGTTTTTTGGCATATCTGGGTTTTTGGCAGATCTATGCAGATATGTTTTTTGGGCAGATCTGGGCAAATCTTATTTTTCCCTCTCAAATCCATAATACAAGGGCAATATAGGTATTTAACACACACAAATAAACTAAAAAACAGCTATTAAATTGAAAATTTTGATATCTATCAATTTTTTGGGTGTTTTTATAGTGTTTAAATAGTATAGGGTTTCTTTATAAGACTATGTCTAAGATTTAGTATATAACTAAATTTCTAATTAAAAAATGGGTCCCACAAATGCCACGTAGGCAGATAACGGATTTCCTGACGATTTGACTAACGAATGGGGCAAATTGTAGAGTTTTCACGACGTTGAGTATGTATTGGTAAATGTCCCCAAAATCAAGTATGAACTTGTAAATGACCTTATAAGTTGGGGAGTTTACTGTAGTTTCTCCTAAAAGTTTTGGTCAAGTGCATCATTAACTAGGAGTGGACATGGTCTGGTTCGGTCCGGTTCTCACCTAAAATCGAAACCGTAACATATATTATTTAATAGGTCCGATTTAAGCAAAAAAAATTTAGAAATTGGCCGGTTCGGTTATGATCAATTTCAATCCGGTTCTGACCAGTTCTGGTTTTGAACCAGATTATTAATTAATTTATTTTTTTAAATTTTGTCCAAATTTTTTAAAAAAAAATTTTTCAAAAATAAAATTATTATAAATAAGTTTTTTTTTTGCTTAAAAATTAACAAATGATCCAATTCATACAATGAGAATTTTTTTGAAGTTGAATTTGGAAAAATATTAATTACAAAATTTAAAATATAGCATTGGATTAAAAAATTTTGTAATACAATAAATAAAATAAAAAACTACAACCAATCTGGTTCAGTTTGGTGACGTGTGAAACTGGAACAGGAACTGATTGGAACCAGTTCGGTCTAGTTTCGATCCGATTTGTTGACTTTTCTTGTCAACCAACTTTTTTCCAGTCCAATTCGGTATTCCTGTTTTCCGGTCCCGATGCCCACCACTACCGCTGACTAAGGAATTTTTGCGACCAACCAGTCTTCATATATTTTCGTTTTCTTTTTTAAATCAATGTTCGTACAGGTAATTTGTACTTTTCTTTTTCTTTTTTTGTTGGAATTTGAAAGAAAAATATCATTTAATTGGAGCTTAATCAAGAACGATAAACATGAAATTTGGAATAAAATAGCCAAATATCAAATTTGGTAACTACATTTGATTCTATAGATTAACTTGTTCGAACTATAAATTTAAGAATAATTTATCACAAGGGTAGTGATTGTCTTGGCTCCGGATTCAAGTTTATGGGTTCAAATGTTCAAGGTCCTTATTGAGAAGCACTCATCAAATCTGAAAAAGCACTTGAAAGTGATTTTTGAGAAGCACGTTCTCAGAAGTGATTCTGGCCTATTCAAAATCACTCTCAAACAAGCATGTCAAGTGTCTCTCGTCATAAAGCATTTTCACCCTTTTGAAAAACCGTCTCAAATAAGCTCTTAAACCGCTTTTAGAGCAACTCTAGTGGTTACCTTTGCCAAGGAAAAGGGGGCCCAAGTCCCCTTTTTTGCTTCCAATGAGCCTAAGCTAAAAGGCAAAACAAGCCCATGCTTTAGCCTGGGTTTGCTAACATCAACGATGACGTCAGCAACAAAAATAAAAAATACTAAAATTTCAGATTTTTTTAAAAATAAATACAGTCATATTCTTAACTTCCCACACCAAAACTCTATACAAATTCCTTTTCTTATATCTCATGTGAATAGTGGTTGTCATGGCAATAGATGGAAACAACACAAATCTTTTACAAGGGCTGCCACTATTCACATGAATAGTAACAGCCCTTGCTCTTGCCCTTTATCATGGCAAATGAGTGGAAGTGCTATTACGAATGCTATAACTTTAGTATATTGGACTATACAATGACACAATGTTTAGCGGAGTCTTTTTTTTCATTCTCTTTTTTTTTAATATACATTAACAAATCAAAGTGTAATCGCCTATTCATTTTGAGAACACTTTACGCCTGCATCTATATGTAAATGTTGTTTAGTTTCAACAAATGAGAGAAAAAGGCAAAAGTGCGCACATTAATTAGTATATATATATTTTATTATAATGCATATGGTATTAGGGTAACATTGACAACACAATTATGTTATGTTATGGGGGAAATTATAGCATTATACATCCTAGAACAGCAATCCATTCCCCATGATCATCACCACAAGCCCATTAGAATCTGGTAATTTGCAGCCTTGTATGCCTTGCTTCCTTCAGCTTTGATGTGCTCAGCCACATCGAATTTTCCTGCACCATGCAAATCAATGGCAGATTATAAATATGTAACATCTGACAATAAACCAGAACCAAAAAGTAAATCTCTTGCTGCAAAAAGGCTACCTCTGTCTTCGCCGTAGCCACATCCGGCCCGAATCGTATCTCTAATATCTTGCACCGTGGCCTTGTTGTAGAACAGGAAGTTGCTCAAAATGTTATCAACACAGTCGAGCACAAGGTGTGTTTCTTGCAGACATGGACCGTCGCAGTACTCGTCAGTTTTTGCTGCTGGCACTTTGAGATCTCCACTCTCATTCAATCTGTAAGACTCTTCACAGCTTCTGTAGACCTGAAACAATTTTCCCAAATATGGAGATAACCGAAAACAAATGACGAATTTTCTAGCATTTTTAATGACCAATTTAGTATTATAAATATGTTCTTCTGACTTACATATTTATCATTGAAACACAGCAAGGCTTTGGCAACAATTTGAGCTGGATCCTGCTCTGCAGAGCCTATTTGATCTGGCACATCACCATCTTCAGGTGTAAAATCATCTGCCATCCCTGTCAGATTTTATGCCAAAAAATAATTTAAGTTAAATTTTTCGTTTTTGTGGGAAAAGAAAAGAGGCAGGAAATTAATATATGTTTCTCTGTTACATTAACGCATATATATATATATATATATATATATACCTATTTCGCAGCAGAAAGCAGAGAGGTAGATGAAAGCTGCAGCTAAAACTGAGAGTTGGCTTATTGTTAATGCCATGACAGAAGCTTGCAAACTACAGAAAACTCTCTTGGATGAGAATTTCGCTACCGTTGGAGCAAAATCGAAATGTCCAGAGCAATATAATGGCAGCTGCTAAACGCCCATTTTAATATATGACCAACCTGGTGCCTACCATGGTACATTTTCTTGACTAAATTAAAATATATATACCATCTTTCATTCTCACTTTTGACTGATTGAGCATGTCATAAATGTATGGAAAATGTGATGAAAAAAGTTGGTGAGTTTAAATGGAAAAGGAAAGCCGATTGACGAGTTTGGTGTCTATAATGGGTAAAAAATTTGGCGGAATGCAGAGGACTAGAAGGGAGAGAGCGGTTGGCGTACAAGTCACCCACTTTCACTAGCTGAGGACTTTCTCCTGGAGTGTTAGAAATCAAACCTAAAAATGTTCCTTGGCTCTGTACCTTACCCTACAAGTAAAGATTGCGTTCCATGAGAGATTAATTAGTTTGATGTTTAATTCACGGCCTAAGCAATTCCATAAACAAAGGCATTATATTGGTATTGAGACATATGGCAAATTGGCAATGAGTTACTGCTAGTGTAATTGTATTAGTGGTTAAGCACATGAGGATTAACCAAACCTCAAGGCGATCCACTTTCTACCACTTTCTTTTCTCTTTTCGTTTAGCGTGAATACATAAATTTCTCGTAACTATAGAATATTTTTGTTCGTTTATCCAACAACCAAATAGCTATTCATCAAATTGGACAGACTAGTTATTGGTCTAGTGGTATTTCTCTTCTCAATGTTGTAAGATGTTCTAAACTCAAAACTCTATTTCCGATTGATAAAACAAAAACAAAAACTGGTTAAACCAGGTTTCCTTGTATTTTAGGTATACATCTGCATCTTTTGCACATTGATTAAACTAGTTATGGGGGCAAATATTGTCGTAAACTAAAAAGTTTGTGCAAAATGCCCTTCAAGCATTCATGGTTTCCCACCAACATCTGCATAAGTTCACATTTACTTTTGGTTATGGATGTACAAAACTAGGCAAGAAATAGAGCAGATCCAATGTTTGAGAGGAACACTATTCTTATTAAAAGCTAATTGAAAATTATTACACTGATCAGCCAATTCTAATGCTTATATTATAACTTTGTCATGAACATGAATCCTCTGAACACAACAAACTACTTTGAGCCCTCAATGAGTCTGTATGCTCCCTGCAACACACAAACCAAAAGAAAAAAATAATTAATAACCATTAAGAGGAGATTAATTAATACTATAACCAGTATAACATACTAATGAAGACTGCATTTCGGACCTTACTGGGGCTATATATCATGATCAGATGTACAGGCAGGTCTCCTTGGAGGGAGCTGCTGGTGTGGCGTTCTCTGCAAATCAAAATTACTTTCTTTATTGTTAACTTTAAAATAAATAAAAATCAAAATGTATTGACCTATTTGATCCGATGCGCAGTTATAAACCAACTAGCTCATAGTCTAGTAGTTAAAATTTTTTGTACCTGCAGTTTTGGCCGTAAGGTCTCCACGGCTGCTGTTGATTTTGGATTCACCCCTGCACCTTGCTGTTCCAGATCCATGAATTTTTACAACCAAAAAAAAATTACAAAAGGCGGAAAAAAAAAAGGTAAAAGAAAAGTTTTTTTCATTTTTGTGGGGATTAATACCTTGCATAGTGCCCAATCTGCTGAATCAAAGAAGGCACGTTCATGATCCTACACACAAGAAATTGAGAGTTTTGTTCTTTACATTTTAATGCAATAACACATGAAGTGACTGAACTTTGAAATGTTAATTAATTTACCTTCGAAATTAAAGGCTTCTTCTTTGGCGCAAGTCCTCCATATTTCTGGACGACTGTTGACGCCTGCAATTAAAACGAAAAAGAAAACTGCTTTAGTCAATAGAGATTAGTGAGCATTTATCTAGACACACTTGGTAAATTACACAAGAACAGTTTAGAGGTTAAATGATCAATCATACAAATCAAATATTTGAGTGTTATCATTGTGGATCATCGGACATATTTTTCTCGGGTGTATGAATAAATACTCTTAATTTTATTTTTTTTGGGGTCACTTGAGCTATAAGCCCATTGTGAACTCGAAAATCCTTTTAGAATATATGTTTAATAGAAAACCCTACGGATCAAGATTCATGGCCTTTGAAAACAATAAAAAAACAAAAAGATTTATGGCCCATAATATTATAAATATGGTTTGATGGGCTGTGTTTGGTGGTTAGCAATCAACGGTCCTTAGGGGCAGGCCTGAATCAATCAACGATCGAAACAGCCCAACTCTTTGGCTGTGGCTGGCCAACACAAAAAGTCAGCAGGAGCAGCAGCTAGAGCTGTGGTAGTCTACGGTCATGTTCATACTTGTAACTACCGTAGCTGCTGCCGACATTTTGAAAAAAGTAAGGACGTACGTTGGCGGATAGGCATATTCTCCTGTCGTGTCACAACACTAGCCGTTACTTGTCAAAACAATCCTTCACTAATATCCTAAATGTGGGTCCCCTTTTATTTTTTTCTATCCTATGCATCCACACACACCCAAATCTAAATTGCATCTTTGGTCCCAAAACGGTTTGATTAGAAATCACAGATATTTTGGGATCACACTTTACAACCCTCGTATTTGCTTCTGGCACAACACAAGAGCATCTGATTTTATGCTTAACGGGATCAACCAAAAAATAATATGGTAAGTGAATTTCTAAACGGCTCGACAATATTCATGCACGGCCCATTAATATTCATGTTCGTACCATGCTGTGTTCTATTTTAAACGTGCTGAGTTTGTGTCGTGCTGGGCCAGCTTGTCCCGTTTGACACCTCTACTCAACATCAATGTTTTTCTTTCTCAAATACTATGACTAATAATCTCTATCTTCAGTCTAATGATTAACCTTCTCAATATTAAAAGAGATTTCAAATTTGAATTCACCATAAAAAGTAAAAAGCCGGACACTTAACGTGAGTTTCAACCTTACTCATTCTCCTGTTTCATAACGAGAAAATAGAGGAAACTGAACTAATTATTTTTTCCTTGACTAAGAAAAAAGAAAGGGAAATGTAGTAAAAACATAATTAGTATAATATCTGCCACCAACTGAATTTAATTAAAAATAAAGTTTGCAACTGCCTGCCAAGTGTATGTTTGGCCATTGACTCATGCAGCAAGGACAGCCGGATATGGCCATCGAAGCTCTTCTTAATTATACATTTGAAGTTTGAACCGACACCATGGAAATTGGAAGTTCTTCTTAATATATATATACATATATATATATATATTCTCTCTCTCTCTGAATTTATTTGTTTTATTTTATTTTAGAGCTTAATTTGTCAAAACTCAATATTTTAACAAAACAATAAATGAAAAAGAATAATTAAGGGGGTGTTAAGAACAGAGCACCTCATAGTCTTCTCCTCTGTTGCAATCCGCCATCTTTGGCTCTCCTGCAAGATCATCAATCACACAATCAAAATCATGGGACCAAAATTAAGAACCAGCAAAACAAAGCAAAGGGTACACAAAATTTGACATCATAATGATGACAATTAAGACATGAAAATTAGAAACAGAAACAGAGGAGCGGGGGGGCTAACAAGAACAATGCAGAAAGATAGCAGAAACCAAAATGGGGCAGGAGGAGTTTAGAGTGGGTTAATAATATATGTGGTTTGTGAATGGCTTTATATAAAGCCCAAAAAGAGAAAAGAGACTATTGGAGAAGGATTGAAAGGGATCTTGACATTACCTTGTGGAAGAGCAAAGTTAGAGATGCAACAGAAATGAGGACAGGTTGCGATGCGAAAGGAACCCAAGGAGAGAGAGAGAGAGAGAGAGAGAGAGAGAGAGAGAGAGAGAATGGGGGTTGAGTGAGAGGGTAAGATAAGAATGTATTTGTATTCATCCCTGTAAGTTGTATCTTAGTATTTAATTTTGATTTAGAGATGTATTTCTCAAATCAATAAAGTTTATCGACGAGGAGGGAGATACGAACTGGGGACATTTTAAACGCTAATAAAAACTTAAAATATATGGTAAGTAGATAAAAATTAGAAACTATATCTCTCCAATAAGGTCATACAAGATAGCGTGGTTGGGGTTGAAGTTCATGGAAGGTGGACAAATTCAAATGGGGTAGGAGAGATTAGGAGGCTGGAAATTTTGTGTACTAAAAAATAATCATAAAATTTAGAAAATAACCAAAATAAAAATATAGATATGGATAACTATTGGGCTTGTTGGGATATCACCATCGGTTGGTCCTTTCTAAATTTCTAACACAAACACAAACTTTACTTACCGACAACCACTCTTATATTTTATGAGTTTTTGTGCATTTTTTGTTTTAATGCAAATTATTATTCATTGTCAAAAGTCCACAGCCCCAAAAAAATAAGCACCAGTTTCTTCAAGAAATTTCAATATTTTAGATATCATAAGTTGTTTTTTAAATTCAATTAATAATGCGGTAGTTCGATCGGATCTTTGTTGAATTTCCGCTTATGTCTAAAACTACGTTATTTGGGCATATGTAAATGGTAAATAATTAAACTCTAAGCTCAAATTGCTTTAATCCTTAGGCTTGAAGAAACAAGAACAATGTTCACACACAATAAAGAAAGAATGAGTAGAAATCTTTATTTCCAGGGGATACCGATAAGGCCGTATATTACTTACTCATCTGCCAGTTCTTATTTTCTTTTGATGGCAGCTCTGAATCTTTTCCAACACAAAATCAATCAATAAATAAATAAATAAAATATATGAACTCGATAAAACTTGTGGATGTTATGAACACATGGGAAAGTCAAAATCCTCATAAGTTTATGGTTTATTTATTTATTGCAATTCATTGGAATTGAGGTTTGAAATTGAAGCTAAACCAGTCAACCCAATGCCTGTAATTTCTTAAGAAGGAAAAAAAGACATGTTTACCTAATTTTGATTGTAACCGCAACTACCCTGCATTGTTGTTGGTATATATTAAGCAATTGTTTGTTTAAAAAAAAACCACTTTGCTTTCTAATTTTAAATGATATTGAAGATCGGGAATTCGAACCCGTGACTTCATGTGCAAAAATAGCCATAGTCCCGGGCAAATTTATATTTAAACTTGCATTTGGCAACAATTAACCTATGATTCAAAATGACTATTTTTATTAAAACCTTACGGCTCATTAATAAATATTTCTTTCTTGGACCGTCTTTCCTTTATTTGTACAGTGGAAATTTGCTTTTCTATTTCCTATTCTGTAATTTTGAAAAAAGAAAGACTAGGGACTAAAATGCTAACCATATAATATTGGGTGTCACTATCAATTGTCTTTTTTTTTTGATAGCCCCTAAACCTTAGTTTCTCCCGAATTGGTTTGAAGGGAGACGTGATGGCTGAGGTCACCGATTTGAAGCTTGTGTTCACCCAATGGAATTCTTCGGATCCCAAACCGGTCCACAACGCTGAGGTGCTTGCACGCATGAACAGCAATTCTGACCCGTTTCTCCGACCCGGCTGCTATATGGATCTTGTGAAAGCCCACCAGCTGCTTGCTGGCTGCCCATTTGCCATCTGGTGGGCTTGTGAACACCAGAAGAGTGTGGGTCCCATCCATGGACCCAGTGTTTTTAACATCCACGTGTACGTCCAGGGGGGAGAGTGCATTGCAGTCCGCATGGCTCACTCTCACAGCTTTGCTCAGCATGGTTGAGTTTGCGGTGGCTTTTAGGCTGGTGAGAGGCACAGAGACTGATGTGGGCCCATGTGCAAGATTGTGGGCAAAAGTTGTGTAGCTTAAGCCCAGACCAAATGGGAAGACAACTGGGCCTCTGTAGAACCTGTAGGTCCTGCCAGGGTAGCCTCTTGCTGGGTCTGCCCTCATGGCCATATCTGTCATTGGCAAATGGGTTACATAGTTTTGGGGGTACCATGTCATGGGAAGCTTTCCTCCTGTACAAAACATATAATAATTAGTCGATGACTATTTAGTCGGACGACATTAGTTTTCACTTTGTTGAAAAAGATAAAAATATATGAACAAGAGTTTGTTGTACTGTCGTTATTACCTGGGTTTGTGGTACCGAATAGAACATCAGCTATGGCAGTTCCTCCGGCTTGGCCAGGGTACCCAACCCAAATAATAGCGCTAATGCGTGGATCGTTCTTTGCAAACGTGACATCAATTGGGCCACCAGACATCAAGACCAAGATGGTTGGGCCTCTAGAGGCCCTGGCCACTCTAGACACTAGCTCTTGCTGGTGTCCGGGCAAAAGGAGACCGGCTCGGTCTACGAATTCGGCTTCAATGGATTGGTCAAGGCCCATTACCAAGACAGTTGCATCAGCCTGTCTTGCTGCGGCCTCAGCAGCACCAAATAGTTGGTTTCCATTGCAATGAACATCTGTGCACCCAGCTTGGTGTATGGTCCTTGTGTACCTCCCAATTCCTTGTAGGGGTGTAGTGTAACCACATGCAACACCTGCGTACAATTACAAAAATATCCAAATGGTTTAAAATTTAGATCAATGTTAAAGAAAATTAAGCTTAAAAAAAACAAATTACTGGACTTACCAGCATATTTCCTATCATCGTGACAGTAACATCAGAATTGGGCCCAATTACTGCTACTGTCCTATGGCGTCTGGTTGAGAGAGGAAGTGAACGCCCACGGTTCTCCATAGAACAATGCCTTGCCTAGCAGCTTCAAGGGCTAGCTGTTGGTGGGCAGGGGTGCACACGTCTCTTGGGCCTAGGTTTCCGTATTGGTGGGCCCATGGTTCGCCGTCGAACATACCCAACCGCATCTGGACCGTCATCGTGTTTGCTAAGGCCCAGTTAATTTCAAGCTGGCTTACGAGTCCCCTTCTTAAGGCCGCCTCAGTATGGATTGCGAGGAACGGCCCACAGTCCAAGTCCAAACCTGCAATTTACAAATAAAACCATATAACAGTGAGACTCATAGCCAAAGAAATAAGCCGGGCATCCAATAAGTTTCCCTTGAAATGTTGATAACCTGCTTTAATTGCGTCAGCGGCTGCTTCTTCTGGTGTCCTGGTGTAATGTTGCTCTTCATATAGAACACCAACTGAATCACAGTCCGAGACAATATACCTATTGGACCCGAAAAGTTAATTAGAAAGAGGCTAAGAAAAACAAAGAGAAAGGTATTTGGCCAATATTCCTAGCTGTATGAATCAAAAGACTCACCCGTTAAGTCTCCACTGGCCACGGATTGTGCCCTTGAGGAGATCAGGGTCAGCACAAGTAGGCTTCCCATTCACCTGGTTGTAGGAGCACATAACACTAGCAACATTCCCTTCCACCACACAGGCTTTGAAAGGCACATTATATGTGTCCGCCAAGTCCTGCTTGCTAACCTGCACATGTCACACGCAAAATTATCACTTTGAAATATTAACAGTCTGACAACATAACATGTTGTATCTAATATATGAAAAGACGGACTAGGGAGCTAAAGATTATGTTACCCTGGCATTGAAATGGAAGCGATTGACACCGTTCCAGTTGTCGAGATCATAGGCAGTGTAATGTTTGCAGCATGCAGCAACCTTAAGCCTATTGCCAGCTCCATCACCTTGGAGCCCCTTGACATACCTAGCAGCATACTTAGCAGCCAAGACAGGGTCTTCACCAGGAGTCTCTTGGCCTCTGCCCCATCTTGGGTCACGAAATATGTTCACATTTGGGCTCCAATATGTCAAGCCAGCCATCCCTCCATTGTACATTGCCCTTGCCTCATCAGACACCACCTGCTCAGAAACCAAATATTTTAAAATAAAAAAATATTAATCCAATTATCATAAATTAATTTCCGATCTTTCTTTTTCTTTTTCCCAGTGATCGAGACTCTTGGACAATTTTTTCCCGTAGCTGCCACAAATCGAAAATGGTCCTGTTTTTAGTACATGTACTAATTAACGGAAAATGGTCCTGTTTTTGGTACATGTACTAATTGTTGTATATATAAATCCAAGGTAAAAATTTGAGAATCTCACATGGGACCCAGAGAACCGAAAGTAACATTTTTGCACCAAATTAGGTATTGCAACTTGCCAAGTTGGGCTCATGAGGATGTCAAGATCGTTTTGGGTCACTCGGCTCATGATCATGACTTTTCTTTACAAGCAATATGATATTTTATAAAATAAAAAAGATACTTTTACAACGGATCAACGTACTCTTAATCACGATACTTATAATTAAGGATTAACTTCGAGATGATGGTCTTATCATTATTTAATCCGAAGCATCTATTTACGTTTAATTTTGATGGGTACCCTTTCTATATGTATAGACTATGAAGGTGGGGGTGGACCATTTTCAATAATGTCTTGAAAAGAACTAAATAAACAAGAGCAACAACCACAATAATTAACATACTGAAAACGTCGTTTGTTTTGTTTGTTCATGGCATCATGGGTTTTAAGGACTAAAATCTAGCTTTGCTATTGCTAGCTAGTCAAAGGTCATTATCATTGCCGAAGCTATCCAAATCATGAAAGAGATGTTGAATTTAGGTAGCTCACGGAACTTCCAATGCAACCACTATCTCACCCAAGTATCCATGCAAATTGTACTTCTATCTTTAGTATGACTAATCCAAATTAAGTGATGAAGTTGTTTTCACCAACAGTGTGACATATCATAGTATGACACAGTGAATTAAAACTATGAATTAGTAAGTCATGTCGAATTATATATCGTCTGATAACATAACATATCAAATCTAATATGTATAATATACCAATACTCGTCTACCTACTCTACACCCCATTAATTTAATATTATAGTGTAAAATATATGACATTTTTGACCACGTGATTGAGATAAAAGAGTTATGGGCTACAGAACCCAAAAATGATGGTAAATATATATATTTTTATTTAAAGACTTTATTACCTCCTCTTCTTTTTGTAATTCTAAATTTTATACTAATCAGAAAGATAAAGGAGCAAGAATAATCCTCACCCGTCCGATTTCCTGCCAGAGAGACTCGTTGAAGGAAGCAGCGGTGGTGATGACTTGAGGGAAGCTGGTGGCCCCAGGGAAGGCCCCACCAAACTTGGTTCCAGGGCCCACATTGGATACACCATGAAGTGCCTCAGACCACCACTCGTAGCCCTGAATGCCAAGCCTGGGCACAGCAATAGCATTGTTCACCAGCAGCCTGATCTTCTCCTGCAATGTCAACCGTCCGATCAAGTCCTGAACCCTAACATGGATTGGCACCTTCACCCTGCAGAACTTCAGGCCTCTGGTTAGTGGGTTGTGAGGGTCACAAGCAAAGGGTGGACGAGCATGGACAACTCGAATGGTGCAAAAAGAAAGACTCAGAAGAAGAGAAACAAGTGAGAGAAGCTTAGTAATATTGTATGCCATATTAAAATGGAATAATGTGGGGAGTTCTTTTGTTTTGCTCTATTGGGTTTTGTGTGTTTAGGTGAAAGCTTGGCGTAGGTATTTATACAGAGAGAATTAAGAAGGTTGCGTTAGAAGGATGGCTATGATGTGGGAAAAATGAGAGGAGAGGTTTTTCATGATTGAGTTTCCACGTAGATGATGCGATTATAACTTTGAAGCTAATCAAAACAGAAAAAAGAAAGAAAAAGAGTGTGTATGAGAGAGAGAGAGAGAGAGAGAGAGAGAGAGAGAGAGAGAGAGAGAGAGAGAGAGAGAGAGGTGAGAGAGTTTGTCAGTGCAACACGCAGTTGGCAATGGATGGTCACTTAGGCTAAGGGGCTATAGCTATAGTTAAAAAAGTATATGAGCCATGACCAACCATATAGCAAATATTGGGATCACGGACTGGAGAATCTAATTTCTGTTTTGGTACATTCTCTGTCACATTGCTCTTTAAAATGTTTAAATAAATTCGAAGCATAGTTTGATAAAAGAAAACAAAAATTTACAGGGATTGTGCACAGAGAGAGAGAGAGAGAGAGAATGGTTATGCAATTTTTTCAACAGAATATCAGATAACTCTCCCAGATTTTATTGCCAAATGAAAGGACACATGGTGACTAAAATCTTGGGTCAGTTACTTGACTCAGTATATATATAATTTTTGCAGAGACAAACATGGAAAAATTTCAAATATATTTGGGGATAAAATGATTGAAAAAGACGTATATTTTGTTTGCGTGGAAGCTTTTCTGTGTTAATAATGCAGTGTTCAGTCTGCGTCGTCCTCCCACCATTGGAAACTAACTTTGGTTTATAATTACTTCACAAAAAGGGAGGAGGAGGCAGAAGTTTTTCATGCTCGTGACTTTTTACCTGTACGCAGACTACACGAGAGACATTAGAAAGTCAATCTCGTGACTGTGGCTTCAAGTTTCTACCAGCGATGAAACAAAAACATTTGTCCTCTTGTATCTTTATTTTGATCATGTGAAGTATATAGTTACTTACTCCACCAAGAGCAAAATTTTACAATGAATATGCGTTTTATTAAAAAGCTCGTAAACATCTCTTCGATATCACTAAGTATTTCGACTAGAAATATCGACAATATATCAAATACTTGTAATTTTTCTGTGGCGTATAAACTTTGATCTATACTTCTATATATATGTATGTAGATGTATATGTATATGTATATACTATGATTTAATATTAGGATGTGAAAGCTGACAGATAAGCTGAAGATTATTCTGTGGCGTGCTGTATAGACTGAGAATTATTTATTTGTGAGGACCCAAGTATGAGATGAAGGAGAAGGAAATGGAACTAGCTAGCTTCCAGATAGGCCCATATACATAAGAGAGTGAGCTTCATACGCTATTGCCAATCTTTATGTTATAACCTTATCCTTCAGTTTTGTCAATTGCTTTATTTTCTTAATTAATTTCTTCCTTTTGATCTTTCATTTTCCAAAATTAAAATCCCCCCGCCAACATTGTCACAGACTTTGTCCAAGATTTTATTTGATATACCAAATTCACGCTCATATATCCCTCAAGTGGTCCTGAATTCAAATCTTCATAATACCCGAGTGAGTGAGTTTCTCCTTCCTCTTCCTACTGATATGTCCCCCAAGATATGAGAATATTATAAATACATTAATTCATACAATAATCCATCGAATATAACCAGCTAATTCCACATATATTTTTGTTTCGGGATATTAAATTAGTTGCACATATGCATCATGCATGCGTAAAAGCAATTAATAAAGCCAATGATTCAGTTAAAAAAGAAGAAAAAAAATCGTTGTGCATCACGCCCTACCCCACCAAGGGGAAAAAAGAATGTCCAAATAACAAAGGAACAAAACAAGCTTTCAATACAGGCAGTAGAGAATATGAAACGAAAACGAATATTGCAATGTTTTTCAGAGATAAAACTCGATGGATGCATGTATATTCTGTGGGACCTCAACATTTCAACAGAAACATTATGGTGGTGGAATTGATTTGATGTCACACCATGCTTTAATTTGGTTAGAGCTTTTATATATGGTTTTACATTTCTTCTTTGTATGTATTTCTTTTAGAGCTTGAAAGCCTCTTAGGCCATGTGAAATGACGCAGTTTAGAACCAATTGGCTAGTTGGCTTGCTATATATGCAAATGCCTTTGAATTCATCAAAAACCCTTTTTACACTAACCTCTTTTTTTTAGTATACGTGAAAATCTAAACTACATGAGAGGGGAGATTTCTCACACACATGCGCACACAACTAAAATATCACGGGAGTTTGAAAATGAGACTTATAAAATGCAAGTCAATGCATTTTTTCTTCTTCGTTTGTTTGATGAATTTGGTTATTTCTAACAGCTTTGTTCTCAACCAACCAACTGGGGCCTGAGGCTTTTTCTTGTTCCTTTTTTTCTTCATCTTTAATTTTGCTAGCTTAATTAACACTCTTTGTTTTCCGTATCTAATCTCTGGCTTTGAATGTGGCTTGCATGCATGATTGGTTGGTTGGCTAAGGATTGGCCATTTGGGGAGATAAAGAATATGACCATAAATGAGAAGTTGAGAAAGAAAATATCATCGGTTAGAGATGTGGCCAAGAAAATTAGAGGGCCTAAGAAAACCTAACTTGATCATGAATCTAAACACATGGACCCACCCAACCCAACTTCTCCTCCCTATCTATCTCTGGATTTTTGACTACTTCTAGTTTCTAGATGAGAAGGAAAATAGACCCTTCAATGAATAAAAAATAAATAAAAAGTTGAAACAAATAGTTCATGTTCATGCATGGATGAGACCATCCTTCGTGGATAGATCATGGATGTCAAAGCTGAGCTTTATGCTAAAACAGTAGCATGGGTGTCGATAGTGATTGCCCATTACGTTCTTATCCTTAAAAATTCCCATCAATCAGCGCAAACGCAAAGAGATAGCTTTGCCAACTAGCTCTCCATATGAAGCTCAGAATGATATGCTTTCTTCTTCCTTCTCCTCCTCCTCCTGCTTATCCGCTTACTTCTAGTTCCCTACTGGTTTGGAGAATCTCTGTTGTCTTTGTCAAATATTTTTATTTATTTATTAATCTTCATAAGTGCGTTAACTGTAAACTGTTGTGCTCCGCAAGATCCAAGCCTTAGTGGCTCAAAGTTGGTTGGTTTGCTCTTGTTTCTCTGGTAAGTTGTAATGAAAGCGTCTGGCTCTTGCCCGCATTATTTCAGGGGAAATCTTGGACTTCACTCCAAGCATTCGATCAATAATTTTGGAAAAACGCTAATGGTATAAGCAAGAGCGGAACTAGGAATTTTTTGATGGGTGGGTTAGCTAAATTTTTTAGCTTAAACTCTAATGATCTTTTTTTTTTCATTGACTAATTTTCAATAAACTTTATAAGACAAATACATATTAAATGTAACAAAAAATAACACATTATCAAAATTAATGTGTTCAACAATATAATTGAAAGTGTACCTATTCAAGTTTCTTGTTTCTTGGCATTAACCGAATAAGAAAAATACAATATAAATAAGGGCTTATTAGATCTAGGTCCAAAACGATTAGCTGTCATTGGATTTAGTTCACATGTTTTTAGTTTTAGATGTAGGTCCTTTGACATTTATTACTTTTTTGTGGTGTCGATTTTACCCTTAGAAGTAAATAAGGAAAATACATTGAAAATCTAAATTAATGCATTATTTCCTTGTAATTGAATTTTAGATTTTAAATTTTAAATTCTTTCCTTGATAATATTCCTAATATATGGATAAAATATCATTTAATCAACGAAAAGTAAAGACCCACATAATATACCAATTGATCAGACAAGCACCCACATGAAATTATATACATGACATCAAGGTAAATAGTGTTATAATTATTAGCAACAAAAAAACTTAGTGATAAATCGTGTTACCTATGAGTTAAGAACATAAATTAGAAGACTACCTATAAGTCAGATATAAAAATAGACAAATAAAATTGTATGTTACCTACAAAAAATGGCTAATTATTATAACATAAATAACTATTCCTTGATTCAAGTCATAAGGTGCAACATTGGAACTAAAAATGATTTAAAAAATAATAAAAAAGAAGATTATATAAGAAAATATTAAAAAGGAATGTAATCTTATGTGGCACAAAAGTCAAAGGACTTTGATCAAAGTTACTAAATCTAAGGATTAAACCCAATTCCTTAATGAAAATTTAGATCTATATCAACTTTTCTATATAAATAATTAAGTTTCACACACACACACATATATATATATATATATATTAGTTGTGAACACAAGAAGAACATAATTAGGTTAATGTTCCATTTTTGAAAGTCTCTTCCCACCTGTGAGTTTCAATTACCCACTGCAATCTGTAATTATGGGTTGAAGGACTTGTGAGGGTTTTTATTGAGTACAATATTAAGAAGCTTTCCCTTTTTATTTTAGGGGAAAAACGATTATTGACTTTGCCAACAAAAGAAAAGAAAAAAGAAGAAGCAAAAGGCCGCATGCCTCGGGGAAAAAAAAACAAAACCAAGGCTGCTAAGTAATTGCATGATTCGGTCAATTTGATTAGAGGGTTGGATCAAAGCAAAAGGCAACAAACTTGGTGGGCCATATAGATATAGGTATTTTTTTTTCTTCCTTCAAAGCTTTCCTTCCACTCTTGGTATAAGACCGAATCTAAAAGACAGAACATTTGAATTTGAGACATCTCTTAATAATTCATGGAATTTAGATCATGTTAAAATTAATGACTGAATCAGGAGACGGAACATTTGAACTTGAGACATCTCCTAATAATGCATGGAATTTGAATTCTGTTAAAATCAATGGCGGTTAAACAGTTATACCCCATGATGTGTTTCTTGAAGATGGTTGTCTGTCTATTTTTAATTAATTTGGAGTGTCTTTTTAACAGCGACTCAGCAGTTATCTTAATCTTGCTCAAGATGAAACCTA